CTCTTAAGTTATGCGATTATGTAAAACGCCTTGTTGCCGCAGGTAGGCTGATCCGCTGTACGACCGTGTCGGAGAAGTTGCCGAATAGCCGCTGTTAAGGCGTTTGCCGTATTACAACACATCTTCCAAGCAAGGGCGATCAGAATGTTTGACATTTCTGTGTGTCTGTTTTTCTATGCCAGTGAAACCTCATCGGTTTTTTCATGAGTTTTACTTGCATATTTAAGAAATGTGCCTGTTACTTTTTTGTGAGGTATTATTTGAGGTGACGTGAGTAATTGAAAGGGGAGGGGGAGCTTTTTTGAGAAACTGATTGTCGCTCAGCTGTCGATACATTCTCCTCCTTCTGTGGAACCCAGAGGAGCATTACCGTGCTTACAAGGGCAATCATTAGTACCTTTTCTGAACGAAATTAATTTATTTTCCTATCATATCATTAGGGTGATGATGGATGATTGTGGAGGCAGTAAACATCTATGAATGTCGGTCACTTTGTACCAGATTTCACGATGCAGAAACCCAGAAATCATATATTAAAATCTATATTTATGGTTTATTTAGCGGTACTTTTAGGATATCAGATTATGTACAGTCGAATTATGAATTTAAAGGATATGGAAGTAAGTGTTCGTGGTGTAATTTAAGCTGTTATCCCAGAATTTGTGTATGGACTCTGGAAGACCATGAGGTCTCTTGACAGCCGTTGTACGGCCCGATATATGAACCCACGATCTCCCAAATACGAAGAAGTGGTGATGATTACTCAGTAATGAAATGTGTTATGCCACTGTTGCTGTAAAGTGTCAGTTTGTGTGTCAAGTTCGATGATGTATATATTAAGAGCGTATCGTAAATAATGTAATGAAAGGTTGGATGGCAATGGGGAAGAAGAAGAAGAAGAAAGTACAGTGACAAAGCGGAGGCGAATTTGTGATGGAAGTAAAGACGAGGAACTGCGTTACAAAAGGGATGTGGAAGGAGAAGTGAATGGCATTGAGGTCGAAACTTTGGTGGTTAATTTAAAAACATTAATTAAAAATGACAATGACAGTGGGACGGAAAATAAAAAAAAAACAACAAAATACGTAAGCAATTAAGGGAAAACAAGAGAATAAAGACACAGCGTAGCAAAATAGTACTTTAAGATAGAAGTACTTATATTGCAAAGGACAGGATGTTAGAAACTTGTCACAGGAAAGGAAGACACGTTTTGTAAGCCTCTGAGCGTAGTTCTGTATTCCATGCGAAATGAACGGAGGAAATACAAGGCAGAACTCCGTCGGATAGCTTTTTTAACTTCGTGTGACTTTGATATCGTCGAAGTTCCGTCTGAACAATTAATGTGTTCGGGAACAATTACATGACGATGGTTTTCTTCTGGGTTGTTGCTGCCAGTAGCTCAGACTAAATAGAGTCGAATGATAGTATGGCCATTAATAATAAATTTGAAATGATATGGAAGGCCGCGTTTCTGGTCTAATTTTGGATACTTTTCCGGGATTTGTCTGGAGCAACGAATAACTCATGTCAGGATAGTTGGTCTTCGGATTAAGGTTTGAAACAAGGATCTGGACCATCCCCCCCCCCCCCCCCCCTTACGCAGGAGTGCCAACCACTCGGTGATTTTGTTATCTCTTTTGTTCTGCTGTAACGCAATTCCATTATAAGTCTGGTTGTACGAGAATGTACAGTTTTTAAATTAAGCTTTTTTTTGTTTACGTTAAAACGGTCCGACACGAATATTTTTTTTTTTTTGCTGAATCGGCTTTGCGATGTTGTGCTTGTTACTATGTGCAACACCGTTTAAAACAAGAGCTGTGTTTTTAGCTTTAGTGCCAATGGAATGGAAAACGTAAATACATTTTAATGAGAGACTTTGAATGTAAAGGCAATTACAGTCGTCGGAGAGTTAAAAGAGTAAAAAGCAAAGAGAATTTGTAAGCATGGATTCTTATTATTTATTTAAATGTAAAGGGGAATAACAAGACTTAATGTTACAAAATAAACAAGGGGCAGGTGACACACTTATCGCCGTAGCAACGGTGTGAATTTCAGAGCAAAGAGAATATTTACGCTTACATTATGAGGTAGCTTTATACATTCCTAATGGTCCTGAAAATTGGACTAAACCAACCGAATATTAGTAATTGAAAATAGTTCATCTTACGTTTTTGTGTTTCTATTCTAATCTACCTTTGTAGAATACGAAGTAATGAAATAGCAGACGGCAGACAGAAGTGCGCTTCAACTTTGACCTATAGTAGACTAGCAAAACAAATGCTAAGCTACATTTCTTCATAGAAATTATTCTTTAAGTTGTAATTTGGTTCAAATAACGTATGTGTATATTCGTATCTGGACTGGTTATGTACTCAATTATTCAGAAAGTTCCTTCCATTTTAGCTGTCAGTATACATGGCTGTTGGAACTTGGTGTCACCCAAGATATTGCTATGTAGATTCAGGATAATTTAGAACATGGCGCCGAATATAATATTTGGACATAGGAGAGTGTGTGTGAAAAATACATAATTTGTGCTATTTACCAAATATAATGTGAGTGATTAAGATACAAATCAAAGGTGAGAAATGCGTGCACATTTTAATTGTAAAGCCTTAAGGGGAAGACGTTACACTCGAAATCCTAGGCGTGTATGTGAGAATGTGACGTGGAGCTAGGTTTGCATTAATAGTTGATTAACAAATCACAGAGAAAGAAGGGTTACTACCCTTGTTGTGTACACTAGGGACTTGCATGTGTGTTGGGCGTGTCTGCCTATTGTATCATGTCATTCGTTATGCTTCCCCCCCCCCCCCCCCCCCGCCACAAATCTGCTACGCCTGACATTTATGCACCTTCATCCGTTGTTCTCGTCGAATGTACGTACACTGTATGCAGAGATCTTGTAAACAAAAGTGAAGTCTCTACTGTGCTCAGTGGCATTTAAAATTAATTTTTCATTTGTAAAAGAATACGACGTCCCGCAGGTTAATGTGGCGGTGACGCTCCAGACTGGCATTTGGGTTGTGCCTTTAATATATTAACTGCACTACTTGACATCCTTGCTGAAGTTTTTCGTGGGTTTTCTCTGATATCAATGTGGCTACCAGGATTTATTTGTAGTGTTCTGTCTGACGACAGGTCCATATATCATGAACAGGATACTTCCAAACTCTTCAGGTTGTCAGGGACCTGCTCATACATATATACATTCTTGGCAGAGATGATCAGAAGTGGTTTGCCATTGCCTTCTTCTGTGTGTGAGTGGAGTAATTGTTGGGATGCCACGGAGAAACCGGGGAAGCCCCCGGAGGAAAACTCCGTGATGCCTAGACCACGGCCTTGCCCAACACAAGTTATAAATTTGAGCACCACCGGGAATTGAACCCGGGACCCCAGGTTTATAAGGCTAGTGTTCTAACCGCTAGACAACAGTATAGTGACTATAAATAGTCCACTGATAGGGTTTCGAAAAAGGAACGACAACCATAATTAATCCACACACAATAGGTTGTAGAAGAACGTTCTAAAACACATGTAAGTTACCTTAATTACAAAAGTAATATTCCCCTCACCCAGAAAGCGAAGTAATCTGAGTCTTTTGAACGTACTGTTGGTACGCCCACATGAACATCAATGTCATGTGACGTACCGACAAACCGAGTTTAGTGAGGGTGGTATGTAATTCCCCACCCCCACCCCCAGCGACCCCAGAGGGCGGTCTGTTGTGTACTGAGAACTGTAAGCATCATGACATTGGGTGAAACCCATTCCATGTAACCCATGGAACACGTGTTGTGTAAACGCACATCTGCATGGCTGCCTGGGGAGCATACAGGTGACGTTCTGTGCACTAACGTTAAAAAATGAGCCATATCGGCTACTATAATTTCAACGTTTACAAAGAACTTTGACTCCAAATATATATGCGACGAGTTTCTCTGAAAAGTTTGGTAACCACGTGCAAGAGCACGCATCTTACTACTGAGATGATCGTAATAGACATAATCTTATCGGCGGAAATGACTTAAACCTCGCTCGTTCGGATACTCAATAATTCAGACTGCCTGCGTTTCTGTGTCTCCACTCTTCAACGAGAGTTTGCGCTTAAATCCCAATGGTAACTACGGTACACCTTATATCTTTAATAGGATGTACATTTCTGATCCTGATACTCGTCTTATTCTGGATGTTTAATCGATTTGCATGTACAGCTCATAACTCTCGGCATGTACGTCCAAAACGCTATCATTTAATGTATAAAGTAAGACATGATCTGATAGGATCTAGTATATGACATTTCAGTTTTATCCTTTGTTTGCAGCCGACTATCTTCGGGACTGTTGCTTCTGACCAGACACCGAAAGATGGCTCCAGCTGCAGAAGGGTGAGTACGTCACAAAGTCATTACGAAATTCAAGATTATTTTGTGCCCAACACGAAACAGACCTCACGAGTCCTCATATTTTGCTTTACTGTCAGGCTTATAGATTTATCGTGACTCCTATTACAAGCTATAAAAACGGATGTGCATACTAATTTTTTATCACACAAAGTTTTCTTGCGACAAGAAATGAATTCTTGATTTTAATGATGAATGGGGAAGCCGACGTTTTGAAGCCCGAGAAAGAGGCTATAGGATAACGTTGAGATGGTTACTTTGGAAATGAATCAAATCGTGTATTTAGACGGAGATTTTATATGGATGCAAATGATTTGTGATCGGGCTGTGTCTGGCTTTGTTAGCGGGTTTGAATTTTCATGCTGTGTTAGGTTAGGTTAGGTTAGTGTGAAGTAGAATGTTCGCTCCATGACAATCTGCATCTACAATCCAACACTTGTGTGTGCGTGTGTTTTTTTTCTCTTATTGTAATATTTTAAAAGTAATGTCATAAAACCAGGCTTAACCTGTATTCCCTGTGACTTGAATAAACTTGGGATACTACATAATCCAGAATTCGGTATTACACCAGATTCTGCCACCTTTTGGAGGAATGCAAAGTGCCTAAAGAAATGCATGTTATTGAAAAATCTAACAGAGCAGTACATATATTTCACAGTGTATCGTGGGTTATACATTGCATTTTCTAAAACAAGGTCTGGGATCTCTGAATCTACGCTGATCTGTCGACAATTCAATCGGTAGAGAAGAATTAAAAATAATATTAAAAATATATGTTCGTGTACTTCGGTGAACCCTGTGGAACGTATACACATTAGAGTGCATTTCGCTCGTTTGTTTTGTTAAGGAGTCAGTTGATAAATCTCATGCTGAAGATGATTCTGCATTGCCTGCGGTCTAATTGTGGCTTCATGACGTTTCTTTGTATGTCTTTTTGCACGGTTCCACGCAAAGACTCTGTTCTGTTTCGCCTCGTTTCTGTATATATGCTTGTTAGCTAATAGCGTCAAGCCATGTTGTGTGTTCTCTTGTTCTGATGTGCAGAGTAAACATTTTGACACGGCCATTCTTCCACCCGTCTTCTCCAGGAACGTGTCCAATAAACTGCTGGGGGTTCAAACAGTTTGGCTTTTCCGCCCAGTCCGCGCTTTCGTACCAAGAGATCACCACGTAACAAAGTTTTTGTGCTAAACATTTCCAGAGAGCTTTAAATGTCAGTTATTACATATAGATTTTTGTACAAAAGATAATATAAAAGTTTGTTGAAGTTTATAAAAGCTACCCTAGTTTTAAACCGTTCTTTTCTATAGAAAAATCTGTGGGATTTCTCTGTTCATAATAATTTTTTAGAAATATGATAACAGCACGTAACAAATGCACCTTTTTATTACTCTGCTAGCTAGAACTTTGAAAACTTCGGCGTCCTAGATCGTTTCACGTTTTAATACGAGTAGCACAATCTACCATATTTCATTTAGCACTGAAAACCGCATGAACCACAGTCTTCTTTGATAATTTAATAGTCATTCAGCTAGTCAAGAAATTCCGCGTCTTTTATGGAACACGAAGGCTCGTTACGAAGAACCCGCCAGACGAATCTAGTGCACAACCTCCCACCCCATGTCGATAAGGTCGATTTTAATAATCTCTTCCCTCTTATGTGTCGTTGTAGTCTCTCTTACCTTGAGCCTTGTGTGCATACCTTCAACCAATTAATGATACGAGTGATTATGAACACCCAATTATTGGAGTGGAATATTATTAAAAAGTAGTGTAGACCCCGGTGAGACAACCTTCAGTTACTACGATAATGTTTGTGAGGGACGATTATTGTATGTTAAGATAACTTAGGGAATTGTGTGGGGTGTGTTTATAGATTAATAGATGGGCTGGTGGATAATTGTTGATATATGATTGGTTGGACGAATGAATGAATGTTTGTATTATTATTGGATGTATGGGCGGGCTGATGGTTACTTGTATTTGTAGATGAGTGGATGGACTGGTGGAAAGGTTGGATAAGCGGATGACTACAGTAATGAATTTGTTTATGTTTTTCTTGTGAATTTTATGCTCGTGACACGGGAACTAAAAGTTGGACCCATGGAACGGTTCTGTGTTCCACGTTGAACTGGATGTAGAACACCAGGCTTTTTTCCCAGTGACTTATAAGTTCGAAGCTTTCAGAGAACCTGGGGCTAACATGCTGCATTCTGTGTTCACAAGCAAGTTCTCCCTGAGTGCAAATTTTAATTCGTAGTGTTGAATAATGTATGACAACAACAGGTCATTTAAAACGTTTCATCACATGTTATCAATGAATAGAATATTACAATTTATAACGACCAGGATATGCAGTGCGTGCTTGCTTACTCGGCAGTACCCCGTTCCCCAGGACCCCATTACTATATCTAATCAACCTACGCAATGACCCCTACGGAAATTAACTGTATCAAAGTTTTGAATGTCATCATGCAAACCTAAAGCATCCAGTTCACAATAAACTAACAGCTTTTAATTATGGCTGGCGTTTGATCGAGGCCGAAATGTCAACTGACCCAACAACTGTCGACCTGCAAAGCTTCGCAGAATTGAAACCTTATGATGGTTTGGAGACCAGTTGTTTCAATTCTGACGCAGAATACATAGTCCATGTTTAATGGAGGCTATAATAGATGGTTGGGGGGAGGGGAGGGGTATGCAAACACACGTAATTTCTTTCATGCTCTTGAAACTGCCGAAATTCTAGTCAAAACATACGAATCATGGAATTCGTCTCATTCACTTTTCTTTGCAATCATTACTCGGTATCTCGCAAACATCATCCGTATTGCCCTCATAACGAAAAGATTATTATCCCTTTGCTCAGTTAAGTACAAAAGGTATCCACTATCGGGATTCTTTCTTCGGGATAAAACTGCCGGGGCTTGAAGCTAACGTCTCGCCTCCACTATACTGCCAGGGTTAAGAATGCTTGGAGGTATTCCTCTACGCCCCGACAGTCTGAATGGCGTGGTCCTTTTGAATAAACTATGCGTTTACATTTACGTATCCTGAATAACGAAATCTTTTTGGCTGAAGTTCGGGTTTCTCATTACGCCAAATAACGGCCTATTCAAGCGATAGTTAACCGACTCATTGGAGCAGAATCAAACTTTCGGAAGCTGATAATTCCTCAGCTATCGATACATTTCCCTCCTTTTATGGAATCAGAAGGTCTACTACAGCCGTGTTCACAAGAGCCAGTCTTTCCTAAGCCCGATGAATCCAGTCCATTACAATTTAAACTTATCATCTCTCCCAAGCGCATTGCGTGATTCCGCAGTTATAATCGGACTGTTCCTTGTTTAACAAGGTTCTAAAAGCGAACTCTTTGTAGTACGCGGACATTCCAATGGTTTTCTGTACACCACACAACGTAGGTCGGTGTTACACTGCGACCCAACATTATTGTTGCGACGTAGATCATTCATGCAGTAATGTTATCCAGGCAATTGTTCGAGTATACTGCGTTCCAGCGTTTTTGGCCGCTGAAATTTGTGAATTGGAACCTCAGAGCGAGTCACTTACCTGACGTTTGCTGGAAGGGATGTCAGTAGACCTCCTCTTAAAGTGTGACGACAGGACACCGTAAGTGTTGAAACATCACCAAGATATTAAAAGCGTGACTATGAGTGACGTACAGTAACGGCATGACGAAATGTGGCCATAAGTGCCGAAACGTGACGAATATTTTTAAAACGTTACCTAATCTAACAAACTAACCTAATCTAAATAAACCTAAACTAACCTAACATACACAAAAATAACAAAACCTATCCGAACCTATCCTGACGTAACTTCATCTAACGTAAAGCAAAGTAGCCAAAATTAACCGAGCCTTAACGAAATATAACGAAAGCGTGTCGAAGACTGACTTAGTGACCACGCGTGCACAAGCGTGACAAAGCGTTATCAGGCGTGACCTGCTTTGACCTCATGACAAGAGAGTACCATGTGTGTCGAAAGGTAACGAAGATTTACAAAGCGTGCCTAAGCGTGACCTGCTATAAAGGAGTGACGAAAGGTCACTATAAGTGTTAATATACAACGAAAATTTGAAAATTGTGCCCAAGCGTGACAGGGCGTGACGGACTGTAACGGCGTGACGAATTGTAGCCTTAAGTGTCGAAACGTCACAAAAATTTTCAAAACATTACCGAACGTAAGAAAACACAAACCTAACCTAATCAAACCTAACCTAACCTAACGTAACCCAACACATGCTAACCTAACCACTAGTTACTTCTAACGCATTGCAATGTAGCCAAAAATAACCGAGCCATACGTAACATAAGGTGGACGTGCCGAAACGTGACATGGTGATCACGCGTGCTCAAGCGTGACATAGCGTGACTAAGCGTGACCTGCGTTCACGTCGTGACAAAGGACTACCATAAGTGTCGAATTGTGACGAAGATTTACAAATCGTGAGCAAACGTGACTAAGCGTGACAAAGCGTGATGAAGCGTGACTAGGCGTGATTTAATGTAAAGGCGTGACGAGATGTGGTCAGAAGAGTCGAAAGATTACGAATATATATAAAGCGTGACAAAGCGTGATGGAGCGTGACTAAGCGTGATTTACTGTAAAGGCGTGACGAAACGTGATCAGAGGAGTCGAAATATGACGAATATAAACAAAGCGTGACCATGCGTGACTAAGCGTGACAAAGCGTGACTAGGCGTGATTTACTGTAAAGGCGTGACGAAACGTGCTCAGAAGAGTCGAAATATGGCGGATGTAAACAATGCGTGACCAAGCGTGACAAAGCGTGACTAGTCGTGACGAAGTGTAACGGCGTAACGAATTGTGGTCATAAGTGTCGAATCGTCACAAAAATTTTCAAAACATTACCGAACGTAACAAAATACACAAACTAATCTAACCCATCCCAACCTAACCCAACACATGCTAATCTAACCACTAGTTACTTCTAACGCATT